TCGTTGGCGTGTTCATCTCATATTCTGAATAATAATAATAATAATAATAATAATAATAATAAGTTGCAAGATTTTTTATTATAATTGTAATTATTAATAATTAACAGAAATATTTAAAGAAAAAAAAATCCAAGGATTTAATTAAAATATACTTGATCGAAAAAAAAATGGCTACGTAAATGAAAACCTCGAAGTGGCGGGGGAACAAACAATTGCAAATCTAAGGAGTTTAAGCAGTCAAAGTAAACGTTAAATGGGTATATTTCTCAAAATAATAAGTAAGAACTACAATCAAATATATGTAATTGACAGATGGTCAAATAATATTTTTAAACAATTTAAAATGTTTTCCCGGATTTTTCTTAAAAAAGAATGTTTCTTTAAAATAAAAAACGAAAAAAAAAAAAAAAAATGCTTCAAAATATAATAACATATATATACATATATATATATATATATATATATATATATATATATATATATATATATATATAAAAAAACATCTCAAATAATTTTATGAAATAAGATAATTATGTATACCAACAGATATATATCGTATGATAACACACACACACACACACACACACACACATATATATATATATATATATATATATATATATATATATATATATATATTTATATATATATATATATATATATATATATATATATATATATATATATATATATATTTTATATATGTGTATATATATATAGGGAAAGTATACGCATGTTAATTTTCGGATATTTTTGCTTTTGTATATGTATTATATATATATATATATATATATATATATATATATATATGTGTGTGTGTGTGTGTGTGTGTATGTATATATATATATATATATATATATATATATATATATATATATATATATATATATATATGTATGTATGTATGTATATATATATAGTATGTTTTATATATATAATAAAAAAAAAATGTCAGTTTAAAGATAAAAAACTAACACGGTTTTTTTTGTAAAAAAAAATGGAAGAAAATTAAAAAAATAGTACGAAAATATATAACACCAACTTTATTGGAAATTAGTTCCTTCGTAACGAAATCGGTAGTTTTTTGTTTATGTTTTTTTTTTTTTTTTTTTTTGTCGGGTGTGCTTGACAGTGAGTTGGTAAGGTCAGGTTGATTGCGCGCATGCGTGCGAGGGCGAGTGGTATGTGTGTATATAAGTATGTTTACAAAATTAACTATTAAAATGACAAAAAACCCCAATAATCTAGTTTTTACTATCATAAGCCAAGAACCTAACATTTCCTCTGCAATGTATCTACATAAAAATTACCCAATACCACTTTCTTGTTGCTTCCTGGCTATTATTATTATTATCATTATTATTATTATTATTATTATTATTATTATTATTGATCTTAAAAATACGGAAAATTCGTTTCTGACATTGTTATTATTATTATAATAATTATTCATTGAAATGATTACTAGTCTAATTAATCACAGTGATGATAATAATTGTTACATTTTGTCCTTTCGAATTTCGTTTTAGTTTTCGTTTGTTTTTTTTTATATATAACATCTTAGTTCGTATGGATTTGTCTGGCTTTGTTTAAGAAGGCTTTTTCCGTTAATTGTTGGACTCTTTTCAATTTATACCTAAATTCTAAATTCAATTAAAGTCAAATAATAAATGTTTATTTCTACCTTAATTTTGTTAATACTTGTTGATTTACACACACACACACACACACACACACACATATATATATATATATATATATATACATATATATATATATATGTATGTATATATATATGTGTGTGTGTGTGTGTGTGTGTGTGTGCATGTATATATATATATTTACATGTATACACACACATACATATATATATATATATATATATATATATATATACATATACACACACACACACACACACACACACACACATATATATATATATAATGTGTTAGAGGTACATGGAATGGAAATATATATATATATATATATATATATATATATATATATATATATATATATATATATATATATATATACACTTTTCTATATATATGTATGCGTGAGTGTGTGCATAGCTGATATTAATATGTATGTATGTATGTGTGTGTATTACATACTGTGGTGTAATTTTACTGTTTCTTATGCTTATTACTCTGGTACTCACAAATATATATATATATATATATATATATATATATATATATATATATATATATATATATAAATATAAAGATTAAAAAAGTGGTATGGGGGAGTTGTAGATAACGGATGAATTTTTTAATGGTGAAAAATAAACAGAACGTCCTTTCTTTTTTTTTCTTTTTTCTTTTTTCTTATTTCTTTTTTCACCCTTTTTTTCAATGTTTATTTTTTAATGATTATGATTAAAATTCTTTATTCTTATTTTGGCTATTCTTTGGAAAATGGCTTTGAAATCTCACCAATTACACATTGTTGCAAACCTAAGTTTAATAAAAAATAAAAAAAAACAAAAAAAAACAATAGCAAAACCTCTATGAAGCCCCAAATGGTATTTTACTTTTGGCAAGACCATTAAAATAATGCGACAAGTGAAGCCATCACTCCATGAGCAACAACAATCAAAACAACACCCACGAAATCAACTAGAAAGTAAGATACCGAGTAAGTTTAATATCAGACCGTACTGATATTAGAGGAAAGAAATTACTCAAAACAAAGAAGGATTTAACAGAAATGAAGATAGAGAAAATTTGAAAATCGTGAAACAACCAACGGAAGCGGGAAAAAAGAAAGTATTAAAGCAAAATAAGGTTTATTGAAAAAATTAAACTCTGGTTGTCAAAGGAGAGGGAAAAAAAATCACGTGACAAAGATGGCCGAAAAAAAAAATCCATGCCACCAATATGGCTTCTTCATTAAAAAAAAAAAACAAAAAACGAACACTTCAGGCAACAAGTACAACAGACCAATAAACAAACAATAATAAAAGAAAAATATAAAATTTGCATATACCAGTAAAAGAAGAAAAGAAAAAAATGAATTAATTGTACCCATCTACCCACACTTTTACAGACAACATCACAAACAAGCATACCCGTATGTAAAAACAAACATGACAAATAACAAGTTTTTTCTTTCTTTCTTTTTTTCTCTTTTTTTTACAGCAATGCAGCAACAAGAAAAGCCAAGAAAAAATATTTTGAACATTTTTTTGACTCGAATTTACAGGCAACTCTGAAAGACTTAAGAATTAAGTGGAGATTATTATTATAATTATTATTATTATTATTATTATTATTATTAGTAATAATAATAATAATTTGTGTATACGTTTGTATTGATGCTATAGCTGCTTTTCAAATCTTTTATTCTTCTCCTCACCATTCCTTATAGAGAGCAGCCTATGACCGCTTTCTGTAAATCTTTGCATTTTGTTTATATTTTGATCCAGCACACGACGCATTTCCTTTTTCCTTGCTGTTCATTTTTTTTTTTTTTGCCTAAGTTTCTTTTTCCATTTTTATTTAACAAATGCTTGCTAAACATTACATGTATGTTATCAGATATTTTATTTAATTATTTATTATTATTTGATATTTTTTATTGTATTTTTTTTTGTTTTGAGCTTGCAATGGTCCAAATATAAAAAATGGCGTCTTGACTTTTTTTTCTGGTCTATATTTGTCTTCTTAGCAACAGATAAATGCATTCTTTTCTTAATTATCTTTATATCGTTTTTAAGTTGTTTTTTTTTCTACCTTTTATTAATTATTTTTTTTTTTTTACTTTGGGTAGACAAGGATGGGGTGATTTTGAATTCTATAGATTGAAGTTAGCTTCTTCTTGGAAAAAAAAAAATTCCAGAGGAAGTTGATCGTACCTTTTATATAACAATGAAGTAACGTAACAGAAATTATGAGAAAATTCGACCAGGGATAAAAAAAAAAAATCTCTGGAACAAAAAATAAAATAAAGATAATTACATAATTTGAAAGAATAAAAAGAACGCTAACATCAAAAAAGGTAAAATGAAAGAACTGAACGTTGGTTTGTATGATAGGTTCCTTACTCGAACAAACCTCATATATGCAAACCAAGCTCTTAACTCCTCCTTTTCGACCCTTACAAACAGACGCCATTTTGTACCCTTTGGACCATCTCTGTATTGTATTGTATGGCGCATGCGCGAAACTGTTCTATCTATGGAACTTTACAAAGCTACATTTCTAACCTGCTTTTTCTTCTATTTTCTACGCTTACCCCCTCTGCTCCTCGTACATATGTTGCAGTCGTAATCATTGTTGTTGTTATTATTATTATTGCTTCCATTATTATTATTATTATTATTATTATTATTATTATTATTATTGTGGTCCCTATTTGATTATTATTTTGTGATTGCTTTCCGTGCAACACATGTAAAAAAAATCAACATTGAAATATTCTTACCCAGTATGCTTATAGCTTGATTATCCCTTAGTGTATTTCTTCTCTCCTTCCTCGAATATATACATGTATATACGTGAGCGTGTATGCGTGCGTATCTGTTGGTGTACATTTATAGATTTCAGTTATATATATATACATGTGTATATATCTATCTATATATATATATATATATCTATATATATATACATATGCATACATGAATGTATATATGTGTGTGTGCGTGTATATTGAGGCAAGAGTGCTCAATATCAGAGATAGATTTTCTTTTAATATACAGAGAGTATGAACATAGAAATCAACACTGTATGGTGATCGTCAGTGGCACGACTCAAAGAATCTTCACAAACACATCACGGTCGATGAAGGCATGAAACTGGTATTCAGTATGCAGTGTTTATTTCCCCCAACTTCAAAAACTGTTTATCTATCTCTCTATCTAGCTATCTATACATATATATATATATATATATATATATATATATATATATATATATATATATATATATATAGGGATGTATCTATTTTAGTTTTCGCTTGTTAACATGATTAAATTTTGCAATAGTTTTATGATCTATCTATCTATTCATTCTATCTATCTATCTATCTATCTATCTATCTGTCTGTCTGTCTGTATGTCTGTCGATCTATCAAACGAACTTACGAAAGGGACTTTTAGTACGGTCATAAACATCTTTTCTTCTTTCAGCTATTTCTATAATGACCGTTAAGTTATTGCTGTTACCATTATCATTATTATTATTATTATTATTATTGCTTAAAAGACTTTTCTAACTTATTGTTTCTGATATAGGACTTAG